TAATTTCAAGTCAGGAATTGTAATGCCTTCTGCCTTGTCTTTGTTGCCCAGGATTGCCTTTGCTATACTAGGTCTTTTCTGGTTCCAGATAAATTGTAGGAATGGTTTCTCAGCCTCTGTGAGGTATGTTGGTGGTAGTCTGATAGGGATTGCATTAAATCTGTACAGCAATTTTGGAAGTATGGCCATCTTCACAATGTTGGTTCTTCTTATCCGGGAGCATGGAATATCTTTCCATTTTCTGAAATCCTCTATGATCTCTTTTTTCAGAGTACTGTAATTTTCCGTGAAAAGATCTTTGACTTCTTTAGGGAGATTAATTCCAAGGTGTTTCATTTTCCTCGGTGCTATTGTAAAATGTATTGATTCTACAATTTCCCTCTTAGTGTGTTTGTTGTCTGTGTAGACGAATGCTATTGACTTTATAACCTGCTATGCTACTGACTTTCTATATTAATTCTAGTAGCTTCTTGGTGGAGTTTTTTGGGTCTTCCAAGTAAAGTATCATGTCATTTGCAAATAATGATAATTTAACTTCTTCTTTACCTGTTCTTATTTCTTTTATTTCTTTCATTTTCTAATGGCTCTAGCTAAGGATTCCAGAACTATATTGAATAGGAGTGGTGATAGAGGACATCCTTTTCTTTGTCTTGTACCAGATCTAAGAGTAAAAGATTTCAGCTTTCCCCATTTAGGATTATGTTAGCTGTTGGATTTTCATAAATGGCTTTTACCAGATTGAAGTAGAGGCCATCTATTCCAATTCTCTGTAAGACACTGAACATGAATGATTGTTGGACTTTGTCAAATGCCTTTTCTGCATCAATGGAGATGATCATGTGATTTTTAGTTTTCCCTCTATTGATATAGTATATTACATTTATAGATTTTCGAATACTGAACTATCCTTGCATCCCTGGGATGAATCCTACCTGGTCATGCTTTATGATCTGCTTGATGATTTACTGTAATCTGTTTGCTAGAATTTTATTGAGGAATTTGGCATCTATGTTCATGAGGGAGATTGGTCTGTAGTTCTCTTTCTTAGTTGCATCTTTCCCTGGTTTTGGTATCAGTATAATACTTGCCTCCAGGAATGATTTTGGGAGCATTGCTTCCCTTTCAATTTCATGGAAGAGTTTGAGGAACATAAGGACTACATCTTCTGTAAATGTCTTGTAG